CTGGAGCTTGTCTTAGCGCTGTAGTCACTGCCACAATGTATTTAGCCTTGGCCTAGAGAACAGTGTGAGAACCATAATTCCATACTTGGGGGGGGGAGAGTGGGGGAGGCGGAGAGGAGCTGGGCAAGAAACTGCGGAGATGTTGGAAGGTTAGGTTGGTGAAATTAACTATATTATAGCATCAGGAAGGCTGCAGATCTCATAGAGGCTTTGTCTATACTAGGAAATTGCATTGTTTTATAACAATGTTAGATGTTAGCTAACTAATTGTTCCTTGTAGACAACGATAAGTCAGTTAACATCATGCTATTAATGTGTCTTAATGTAATGTAATAAGGTTTTCTAAACAAGATGAGTCCAAAGAAGTGCATGTGTGCACACCTGGTGCATAGCCACAGCAGCTCCAAGGTCGGGATGGAGAATGGGTCTGTGTGATGTAACCAAACACAGAGGATAGATGAGAGAGAATTTCAGAAAAGGTACACTATATGGAAGAAGGAAAAGGCTTTGACGGTACAACGGGAGCCATAGATGGGAGGAGTCAGTGATTGTCTGACCATGTTAAAATACCACCCTTTAGGAAATCAGCGGGTAGTCTGTACAGGGTGACCCTCCCTTGCATATGCACAAGTTGAGACACCAAAAACATATGCACAAGTTGAGACACCTTTCCAGACAATAGCAGCTTCAACATACTCAGGGCTCTAAAAATTGAGTACAACATTTATCATTCAGTTTTCATGAACATTTTGCAAACAAACAAACAAAAAAATTAAAAAAGAGTGAAAACACTGGTTTGTGAATTTGGAAGAACTCCACAGATTCACAGAGCTCCATGTAGGCCTAAACTAAAACAGCTAGAGAATTAAAAAATAAAATTGAAAGAGTGGGCAATGAGTACATTTATTTAAAAATATATATCTTACATGTCTCAAAATGCTTCAACATTTGTATAACCACCTTGCATTCTGTTATCTCAAGTATTTAGTCATAAAACATTTAACAGAAAAGCGGTGTAACTTTTTTTTCAGCCCAAATATCTGAAATTTCAAAAGTAAAAAACAAAGAAATAAACTAGGAGTTTGTACATATGACTTCATTAATCCACATTTTGCTTTTCTACTATTTCTTAGAAAAGATTTATTTGCAAAATGCAGTAATTTGAAAGAGTTCTCTCAGTTAGTAGTGAGAAATAGACAGGCAGGTCTGTGTGTACCATCATATTTGCAGTGTGCTTATTTCTGAGTTTATTCATGCTGAAAGCTTTACATTATACTTGTAATTTCAGAGTACTAATTAGAAGAAAATAGCTACAGTTCCATTTAAATAGTATGACAATGGTATCATTTGTCACAAGATGCCAGACCACCCTCTCCCCACAAAAAAAAAGAAGAAAAAAGCAAAAACTGTTAATGAATAAAATCCACAAGAGTCCTCTGAAGTTTGCACTGGAACCTTTACATTAAACAGCTACAGCAGAGTCTGTGTGCAAAAATTTAGGTTTCCAAATACCTCCTGGGCAGCTCTCTCTCTCTTGAATCAAAGAAGTGGGAGACAGAAAAGGTCCAATACTAGTAAATTATTAATCCATTCCTCCGCCAGGATTGTTCTATATCATTTCCTTTCTAGTACTTCATCCAACCTAGATTTAAAATATCTCAACTAATGGGGCTTCTATAATTTCCCCAGACTAATAGATTTTACCATTAGGAAGTTTGTTTGTCCTGATATTCAGCCCTATTTCTCTTTTCTTAACTTAATCCCTTTTGGCCTGGTTACACACCCTTTAGACAACCTAAACAATTCCTCTCCCTCCTCATGCATACAACTTTCAAGTAATTATAATCAGTTGTGTTTTCATTATTTAGCCAAATTAAACACATTTCCTTCTTTCAATCTTTCTTTATAAATCAGTCCCTACATTATAATCACCTTTGTTTTAGTTCTCTAAATGCCCCTCAAATTTGTCTGCATTGTTTTGGTACTGAGATGCCCAGCACTGAATGCAGCATTCTTGAGGCAATCCAGAGGCAAAGAGGAATTTTAGTCTCCCATTATCACGTGAAACCTCTGCACTGAAAGCTCTGATTGCATCTATTGCATTTTCCACCAAACCACAATGCAAGCTCCAATCTCATTTGCTGTCCATTATAATCCTGACATCTCTTTATGTATCAATGTTTTCCAAGTGTCCCTCTGTTTAAATCTCTTTGTTTTCTGCTGATTTGTTTGCAAGCCTTGTTGTCAGTTTTCCCTTGATCCTTACTTTGTAAAAAAAAAAAAAGTGACTATCAGAGACAGTTATGGCACAGGAAGAGTATAATTTCAGTGACATTAGACAGGTTTCAGCCGTGTTAGTCTGTATCCGCAAAAAGAAGAACAGGAGTACTTGTGGCACCTTAGAGACTAACAAATTTATT